TGGCGGCGAGGGTTCGGATCCCAGGCGCGCACTGACGCACCGCTTGTCCAGCCCATGCTGAGGCCGAGTCCCACATACAGCAACTAGAATGATGTGCAACTATGACATACAACTATCTACTGGGGCTTTGGGGAAAAAAACAGGAGGAGGATTGGCAATAGATGTTAGCTCAGAGCCGGTCTTCCTCACAAAAAAAAAAAAAAATTACATATTGATTTAGGAAGCATTGATACCTCTATAATATCAAACCCCCCATCCATTCAGGCCTTCTTCTGAAGTGCTTGAGGGCAGTCTTCACACAGCAGAAACTTAGGTTTAATCCTAAATGTTTTATGGGTTTTGTGGTTATTATAAATAAGATGACTTCTTTCACTGTATTTTCTGAATATCATTCATAAATAGGAAAACTTTTTTTTTAACCCAACCGCTTTACTGAATTCACTCTTACCTTTTAGTATATTTTCGGTCAGTGGTGTCCTCTCCAGATGATCAGTGTTTGTAGGGCAGGAAGGCATCCCACTGCCCAGTAGTCACTTTGGCTGCACCCTGGGGCCTCCACAGACCCCGGAGTGATGTCGTCTTCATGTCTACGTGTCTGTGATTTCTTAAATATTTTTTTGCCTTGAATTGTGAAATATTTCAGGTATATAGAAGATGATCGACACCAACATACCTGTCCTGCACATTGAACAGGTGCTAACGTTTTGCCACATTACTGTCAGATTTCTCCTTTTTAAACAAAAACTCTGAAATACCACTGCAGATAAACCCGAAATGTCCGTCGTCACCGCATCTCCTCCTCCCCGGAGTAGCTCCTGGGCTGGGGTGGTATGGGCACCTGACCCTCACTGCGTGTGTGTGTGTGTATGTGTATGTGTATGTGGTTTCGGTATTTTAAAAGTATGTGTGTGTTGTATGCAGTGTGAAATATTGTCCTGATTTGAAAGTAATAACTATGTGCCTATTATGAAAAATTCCACCCTTTTTGGAGATTTAGGGACACAAGGTTAAAAGTGCTCCCTAACGATGTCTAGGAAAGCTGCTCTCCACAACGGTGTGCCTTGCTGTTAGGCTGTGCACAGTCTCTCTGATCCGCTGACCCAGAGTGCCGTCCCGAGGGAGGGATGACCGAGGGCACAGTGGCCACCGCGTCCTCTTCTCTGCTGCCGGGTCTCCCTCTGTCTCGGCAGAGGCTGTCAGGACTCGGAGTGGGTGTCACCACTGTTGACACTGCAGGGCAGCAGGCTTCTGTGGACTCCATCGCTGGCTTGAGAGGAGGCCTGCCCGGAGCGGCAGCTTGGGGAGCAGCTGTGCCCTGGAGCGTGTGGACAATTAGAGGAAGTCTGCAGGGAAACTTCTCCCGGAGGGAAAGGTGGTTTTTCCATCTGGCTTTTTCTGAGCAATTTAGCTTCCTAATGACATGATCCAGATTGTTTCAGAGACTGTAAGCCTCGTGTTTGTGAGTGAGGGAGACCCACTCGGGGAAGGCTGATGGGCATCACTTCCCTCGGGAAAGGGCGTCTTCCCCGACCCAGCTTCGCCTACTTTGTGCCCACGGTGCAGGGCGGGGAGCAGGGGTCGGGGGCCAGGGGGCCGAGGCCGCGTGTGGCTGGGGTTTCCCCCTCCCTCTGCATAAGTACACGTTTCAACACGGAGTCATCCTCTGTGTCAGCTCGAGAGCCTGTGGGTGCAGCCGACGTTAGGGGAACGAGCTTCCCCTGCAGAAGTGAGCAGGTTCCGGGGGGAAATCCATCATTTTGAACCGTTTCTTAACGAAACTGAGTGAGTGTGTTAGTGTGCGTGTGCGCGTGTGTGCGTGTGAGGGAGAGAGCCGAATGCACCAGCGGGACTGAGCTGCTTTCCTGTTTCTGTTCCCTTGGGCTGGAGTTAACAGCTGACAAGGACGAATAATCAGTTTACTTCACTGCTGTTAAGTGAAATCAAGTTTTTTATATTAAATTCACTAAAAGAATATGAAGAAGTTGTAAACATTATTACGTAAGGAAGAAGCTACACGTCTAGGTCCAACAGTGATAGTGGATGATTGCTGTTGAATCAGGTAAAAAAAGGCAAGCGTGTTTCCCACGTCCTGTTTTGGATTCAGAAGTGAAAACTGTGGGAAAGTTCCGGGTTCAGGCAGATTCAGACACCGACGTGCAGGCGTGTGGAAACGGGTGCTGGGAGGTGCGCTCACACGGCTGGGATAAGGTGCCACGATCACCCTCCAGATGGCGTTGGGGGGGGGGCCACAGGCATGAACCCGGCCCGTCCCCTCGCCTTTAACTAGTGGTGTTGCAGGTGCCGTCACTCAAGAGAACAGTGAAGAACATTTCTCTTAATTTGTCTACTTCTTCGGTCTCTAATTACCCCTGAAAGACAAAGGCCCAAAGCGTCGATGAAGCACACCAGCTGATATTGTTTGTTTCTAGGCAAACACAGGAAAAGATGAACTCTGAAAATTAAGAGGAAAAAAGACGACGGGTTCACTTGTGTGAGTTTGAGTTAGTTTCCTGTGAACTCCTGCTCTCGGCTTCTGCCGGGGCTGCCTCGTGGGGCAGCCACTCGATGCCCATACCCTCCGGAACTCAGGTCATCTCAAGTGGCGGCCTTAGAGCACACACGTTTCCCGAACTACAGAGAGGGCCTCTGCAGTGTCGTTGTCCGGGGCACGGCGTCGGTGCCGGACTGCTCTGTCTGGAGCAGAATGATTCGTAGCTGGAAAAGGTGTCTTTGACTAAGAGGTCGTCTTGTTAACTGGCGAGTTGGACCAAAGGGTAAGAAGGAAGCCCTCGCTCATCCTGTGTTTCTCTCGTTTTTGATGTTGTTGTTGTTGAGGTTTTGCTTTTGTTTTTATCTGTTTGCTCTTGGTTTTATCCCGAGTCCTGGGCCGTTAAATCCATGTCTGAGATATCCAGACAACATGAGAAACTTTCCTTGCTCTGCCCAAACTTGACTGCTTTGTTAGTGTAAACGTGGCCCTTTAAAAACGTAACCCCATTTGTTTGTAAGGTGTGTTATCCTGCTTCCTCTCTTATAAAACCTGGTGGACTTGGAGAGGCCTCGTTTTGGCGTGAGAAACATTGTTCGTATCCTGAGGATGGCTGTGGTGCAGGCAGCCTCAGGAGGGCTCCGGAAGTGGTCTTCCACATGCACGTCCGGTTAGTACAGATTATCACCCGAGCAATGAATAGACCTGGTCAGAAGGCAGTGTTTTGCTTTTATAGATGATAACTGTGCTTGCTGGATTTGAGGGGAAAATCTATGAAACTAAATTTTAGAAAAGATCGTGAAGTTTTTCAAGGAGAGTTACAAGGGTGTGGTTGACGGGTAGATACCCACCACTGCATGAAAGAAATTCTAAGCTTGAGCAAAATAGCCTGTTCTGAAATTCCTAGTCTAGCTGACTGGACACGAAGATGTTTCTTTTCTCTTAGCTCCCGTGAGTTCAGACATTGGCATGTACTGTTACATAAGGTAGTCATTCAACATCGTTCCCAGAATGTATCAGAATTTATTGCCTGGTCGTCCGTTTATTCAGCACAGGTCTGTCGTGCTCTCCCGAGTTCAGCCTCAAGGGTGCAGATGCAGAGCGGAGGGAGAGCGAGATCCGACCAGGGCTGGGCTTCGCCAGGGAGACGAGCGTGTGTGCAGGGGGGATCATAACGAGGGACCGGGAGGTCCAAGCTGGGCGGTCTCCTCAGTGATAGCGAGAGGACATGGAGGGTTAGGGCGGAGGGAGGTGTTGGGGCAGAGGTGTGGGAACTGGTGGGTGAAAGCTGCGTTGGGGTCCAGGTGAGAGGAGAGGAGGCGGAGAGGCAGGTGGTGCTGGCTGAGTGGTGTTTGACGTGGGGTTCCAGGGAGGTTGCCGTGGTGGCAGTGGCAGGTCTAGGGTCTGGCCTGGAGAGCTGGCTGCAGGAGGGCAGAGGACAGGTCGTTGCAGAAGGGAAGTAGGGCTCTGAGAAGCCAGGGTGGCGGAAGACCTACTGCGTGGGCATTCAGGAAGAGCTCATGCTGGAGAGACCGTGAGCCGGCGGCCGACCTGGAGGGAGGGTGGGGAGTGATCCGGGCATCTGCAGCTGCCTGTGATGAGATGGAGGCTGATGGCATGAGCGTCAAACCGGAGGCCTTTCTGGGAGGAGGAGGTGACCGTTGTCCAGAAGCAGCAATAAGAAGCTAGCAGGCAGAGAGCCTTCCGGGGAGGCCGCGTTCTCTCGGGAGAGCCAAGTTTCTGTTAGGGCAAGAAGGTGAAGGGAGGGTTCAGAGAAGAGGGTGAGGATGTAGGAGATTTTGCTGGATTCTGTAAATGAGGTTTGTTTCCAGGGGACACAGTGGAATGGGTTCAGGAGCCAGCCCAGGGCGCAGGAGGTGAGGCCAGGTTAGCGTGTCCACAGTGCTCTGGGGAGTCCAGGGGTGGAGAATCCTGGGGTCTGGGGTGTAAGCAGTAGCAGAGTGGTGGTTCCTGATGCAGCAGGTGAGGCTGTGCGTGCCGGAGAGAAGGGGGCTTGGTGTCTTGCCAGAAGCAGGCAGCCTCTGGGCTCTCCCTCCTTGCGTCCCTGGTGGTTGGAGGCTGGACTGAGGCTGTTACCTGGAGCCTGGGGAGGTCTGGGCCCCTCTCTGTCCTGGGGACGGAGGTGAGACTGGGGAGTGTACCCACTGGAGCATCACCATGGTGCACACGTGTCTCACTGGAGTTATAACAGTTTTAGGATAATGTGAAATGAAACCTACGTGGCTTATAGTTGTTTTTCATATTGTTTTTATACCTGAGGCACAATTTTGTATATTACCGAAAGATAGTAATGACGGGATTTAATTTGGGAGGGTTCTGTTGATTCATGATCAGTAGATACAATTCAGATTCCAGTTTATATTTTAAAATACATCATTCTCTCCCGTCCTCCCCACTCCTGTCCCCCTCCCCTAAAGTGTGTCTTTAAAACTGACAACGTCACAGTGTTAGCTGCTGAATTATTGACATGTTTTCAACCTTTTCCTTACAGTGAAGAAAGTTACAGCGTCAATGATTATTCCCTGAGAGATCAGCTGCTGGTGGAATCTTGTGACAGTGACGAGCCTCATTCCTCCCCGGGGAAGAACAGCTCTGCCGTGCTGTACTCCCGACAGAGCTCTGCCAGCCACCTCTTCACGCTGACCGTCCTTAGTAACCACGCGAATGAGAAGGTGGAGATGCTGCTGGGGGCCGAGACGCAGTAAGTCCGTGCGGGGGCCTCAGAACACCTGCCCTCGCTCCCCTAACCACTTACCCTGATGGGATTCCCTAAGCACAGTGCGTCGAAGCTGCGGGTGATTTTCTGTGGACCACCTGGGATGCCCACGCAGGGACGGTGGCTCCTTCATGTGGACGCTCCGTCTCTTCCCTGTGACCCTCTCCATGTCTCGAGAGAGGGGTGGTGTTATTTTAGTCTCTGTGAATCCTGATGGATGCGTTGTCTTTATGTGCTTTTATACTTAGAGAGTGGTTTAACAATCATTTTAGGGCCGGCCCCGTGGCTTAGCGGTTGGGTACGTGCGCTCCGCTACTGGCGGCCCGGGTTCAGATCCCGGGCGCGCACCGACGCACCGCTTTTCCGGCCATGCTGAGGCCGCGTCCCACATATAGCAACTAGAAGGATGTGCAACTATGACATACAACTATCTACTGGGGCTTTGGGGAAAAACAGAGGAGGAGGATTGGCAATAGATGTTAGCTCAGAGCTGGTCTTCCTCAGCAGACAGAGGAGGATTAGCACGGATGTTAGCTCAGGGCTGAGCTCCCTCACAAAAAAACAAAAAAGAAATAAAGAATAGCAGAAATGGTAAATTTCTTAAAAAAAAAAAAATCATTTTATTTTATCATTGATTAAAAAAAAGGACCCATGAGCCCTACGAATCTGACTCAACTGGTAGTTTGAGTCCAGGCCACAAGTTTTCTTAGATAATGGAATTGAAGTCATTTTGCAGTTACCTGTCTTCAGCCAGACAGTAAAATGTCCAGTGGTTTCTGTCAAAAGAGATGCTCAGTTGGGGAAATGTCTTGATGAATCCACTTTCCCACGTGGAGTCCTCGGTGAGGCTGCACGGTCATCCCGTCTGTGTCTGCAGTTTCAGCAGCGGCCGGTACACGGTCCGTTCACGAGGGGTGAAGGGCAGGGGCTTAACTGTCGAGTCCGCCCTCGTGACCTGGTCCATTCAGAGACAGTTGACCAATTTGTTTGTCTGGAAACTGGAAACCTCTTGGCGGTCACCCCAGGCGGCTGCTGTGTCGGGTCAGAGGTGGTGCCGTGGAGGGAAAGGAGGAGTCCTGATTCTCTGTCCTCCGGGTTCCTAGCGTGTCTCCCGCCCGCCTCTGCTGAGGATCCCATGTGATGGAGATGGATCAGCAGCTGGTGAATCACAACCCTATGACTGTAGCCAGATCTTAGGGAAAGTAAACCCAGAGACGTCTCCTCTTTTAGGAGGATTTGACAGAGTTCTGGATCATTAGAGAGAGACATAAGAAGGTGAAAACCACAGAGCAGCCACAGAAAATGTTAAATGATCACCTCATGTCTTTTGGCACCAGAAGCCACTTGTCAGAGGCTGAGGAAAACCAGGAGGGACAGGTTGATGTAAAGCTGTTTGAGATTTGGAAACCGCCCCAGCAGAGCCTTCCAGATGAACCTGAGCATCAACAGAGGTGACGGATGAGAAAAGGGGCTTCGTCCCATGTGTTTGTTTATAAAACAGGGACATGCCTTTTTCGGGGGGGGCCGGGCTCTCCGGTTCAACTGCTGAGATCCTGCTGCATTCTCAGGGGCCTGGACTCCAGGAGGGCGAGGTGCCTGTTGGTCTGTGGGGGTGACCACAGGGGCAGTCCCATGACCAGCCCAGGGAAGGCGTGCTCGACCCTGAGAGCCGGCAGACCCCGCGGCCAAGAGGACAGACTGGAGGCCCTCTGTTGGGAGCTGCTCTTGGACCAAGAAGGTCGTGTGTGAGCTCTGGATTGTACGTGACTTTAAGGATGAGAAGGCTTAAGCACTTTGGACATTAGTACTTGTCTAGACCTTCCAGAGAGTTCTCAGAAACTAGGGGTTTTCTTTGGTCACTTTTAGTTAGTGGTGGCTGCCTCTCCTTCCCTGTGTCTAGGGACTGTTCCTCTCCTTTCAGGCCTGGCCAGTGTATGGCAGGGCTTTCCCCGATTGTCTCGTCCGTGATTTACGGGGTCTCCCCCCCTTGTGTCTGAGATCACCCGGGAGGAGGGAGTGGACCCGCTTGCCGGTTCCTTCCACACCAAGGCTGGGTCCTTCCCTGGACGCTCGCAGTGTCTGTCCACGCTTGTCCCTTTGATCTTGCCGTGGACTGAATGCTGTTCGTTCCCTGGGTCAGAAGTGTTCTCAGAAGATCTGGTTATGTCACCCACCAACCCACGAGTGTGACTCCTATGTGCAGTTCTTTAATTAACAGCAAGAGAACATTCCAGAAGGGGCAGAGGGGCAGGTGTCTTCTTGGGCACAGGAGTGACTCCCTCACTCCCCTCCCTGTCTAGCCCAAGTACAGCCGACACGTAAGTAAATGGACAAATGCTTTTAAGCACAAAAGGCATAAAATAGCATTGGTGTTGAATGAAAATACATTACAGCCAAGATGCACTTTCCCCGGAAAAGCGGCTGGCTGCTGCACGTCTAGCGGATTGCTCTGTGCTGGGCGTGGAGACGGGCAGGTTGCTGCAGGTCTAGCGGATTGCTCTGTGCTGGGCGTGGAGACGGGCAGGTTGC